GTTCATGTGTTTGTTTGATTATTCTGTTATTTTATTTTGTTTTTATTTATTTATCCAGTTATTTCTCTTATTATTTATCAATTTGTTTATTTAGTTATCCACGTATTTGCTGATTTTTGTTTATTTCCATTTATTTATTTGATTCATTCATTAATTTTATTTACCTATCAGTTTATTCATTTTATTTATTTGCTTATCAATTCATTCATTTTATTTATTTATTCATTCATTCTATTCACTTATTTATCTTTATCTTTTTTTTGGCTAGCAATTTTGTTTTTTTTCTTTTCTTATTTTCTCTCTCTCTCTCTCTCTCTCTCTCTCTCTCTCCTCGCCTCCTTCCCCCTTTACCTGCGGCAGTTCTGTTTTTTTTTTTTCTTTCCTTGTCTTATTCTTCTTTTTCTTTCTTTCTTTCTTCTCTCTCTCTCTCTCTCTCTCTCTCTCTCTCTCTCTCTCTCTCTCTCTCTCTCTCTCTCTCTCTCTCTCTCCCTCTCTCTCTCTCTCTCTCTCTCTCTCTCTCTCTCTCTCTTTCCCCACCTCCTTCCCCCTTTCCCTGCGGCTTCCGAGATCTGGGCTTCGTGTTATGACTGAATTTAGGAGTGTGACAATCTCCGTTTTCTATCTTCGTACTCGGCCGAGCGGAAAATCAAAGATGGCGGATGATTCATTTTGATCTGCTGTGATTAGCTCCAACCTCTCTTTTCCCCTCTGAAGTTTTTATTCGGCTTAATTACACCGATTAAGGCGGGTGAACGTCTATTTTTTTTTTGTATTTACTTTTGGTTTATTTTTTTTATTTATTTATTTATTTTTTTAAGGAGGTTCTTATTTTTATTGTTTTGTTTGTTTCTATGAAGCTGTTTTTTGGTTTGTTTGTATATTTATTCAGGTATTTATTCAGGATTGATTAAACAGGGTAATGATTTTTATTTATTTATTTTTTATCGGAATTAACTTTTATTTCTTTTTTTTACTGCTCTCTCTCTCTCTCTCTCTCTCTCTCTCTCTCTCTCTCTCTCTCTCTCTCTCTCTCTCTCTCTCTCTCTCACTCTCTCTCTCTCTCTCTCTCACTCTCTCTCTCTCTCTCTCTCTCTCTCTCTCTCTCTCTCTCTCTCTCTCTCTCTCTCTCTCTCTCTCTCTCTCTCTCTCTCTCTCTCTCTCTCTCTCTCTCTCTCGCTCTCTGTACTCTCGCCCCTAATGCTAACACTACTGTAACCCAAGACCGGCTATCACCATCATACTCTCTTCTCCCTAATAAGACTAATTTCCTCTCGTCGCTTACCTTGCAAACTCCCATAATAGTAAAAAGGAAAACAACTGCAACGAGAAATGAAACTGACCTTTCGAACTCGCCAAGAGAGCCTCATCAGACGAACGATTAAAAAAAAATATGGAGTTCGAAACATTATGATTCAATTTCATTTCTTATTGTGGCTGTATTCCTTTTTTTCATCTTTGTGTACACGTTAAATTGGTTTGTTTTTGTGTTCGCCTGATTATGTTTTCCTTCTAACTCTATTTTAAGTACACAATGTCCTGAAAAATCGTGGTCTTTGTTATAACCTTTATCATGTATTTTTTTTTTAAGTTGGCAGGAACAAGTAACATATAGGCAAAGTCTTCAGTAGAGGTGGTTAAGTAAGTCGAGTTAAGTAATTCAATTTTCGTTAATTCCGTATGGTAAAATGTGAAATAAATATATTAATAAAGTAATGGTGTAACGTCCGAAGAACCGTTTGGTATCAACCCATTAATCCGATGTAATTAATTAATATTGTGTGCTCATCCGGCACGCCCTCCCACGCCACACCCACCAAGAATCGGTAACAAACCAGTAGATGAGATAAACTGTGTTCAGGTACTTACTGAGTATTACGAAGAAAAATTACTGGTGATATTTTGTCTGGATTAAAGATGTTATAATACCAAATACATTTTGAGAATTAACTCAAACAACACAACCGCATACGTCCCATGGTATATCCTATAAAAGGACAAACTAATGAATCCTTTATGCTTTCATGTGTAACTCTTATCTTCTTTAAAATATGAGGGTCTATACTGAACACGTGCCCCAAGTTCTTCCTATGTATGCAAATTGTGCATTGTTGAAATCTTGTAGAAGGAGCAGGCGGGCCGAGGGGCTGCGGTAACAGAGAAAACCCTTGAATAACAAAGAAACAAACACCGACATATGTAAAAATGGAGCTGATCTACAGAAAATATGGTGGGATGCAGAAAGTCACAAATAATGACAATCCCATAGCACTTCCGAAATCATGGAATTCCAAAGCTAGCAGGAAGTTGTCAGTCTGTCTGGCTGGCTGGTGAAATCTTTGCCGAGAATAAGAAAACGCAGACACTTCCTCATATTGCATTACATATGACACTGATTTTAACGTACAAAATTTTCTTCAATTTGTATTGTATTTTATTTTGATCCAGGCTGTCTATGCAGAGACTGATAAGTAATCCTATGTTACTGCTGTGATGTAACTCTTCCTTTTCAATAAATATTAAGAGTATTCTCACAAAATACTCTTTGGAACTGAAAAAATAATGTGAAGTGTGAAGTTTCTCTCCCGTAGAATAAGATAAGCAGTCTAATGCATGACAATGAGATAAAAGAAAAACATGTTGACTGCATGGATTAAACACGTACATACGCACGCACAGTCACTCAAAAACATACGCATATATATGCACATCGGTGTATAAATGATCTTCCTACATATTTTTGTAAGCACACACACACTCACTCTGTCACTCATATATGT